CCCAAATCCTCCAAGTACTCTTCTCCTTTTCCAAGGATTCTGCTCCTTTTCCGAGGATTCCCCTCCATCCCCAAAAAACATCAACTTCCCCTTCCCACTTCCATATCCCAAAAAACCCCCACATTCCCATCCTGTTTCCGGAATTCCATGCACTTTTCCCTCCCTCCTGCTCCAGCACTAAATGCTCATCCCAAATATTGCCCTGGTGGGACAAATCCCACCTGGAAAAATCCCTGGACGTGTGACAGAATTCCCAGGAATACAGGGAAGCTCCGTGGGATTCCCGGGAATTCTGCTCACCTGGAACGCCGTCTGGCTGTTGTAATTCCGGATTTCCTTGCTGGCGCCTCGGAAGAGGAGAACCCTGGCACAGCTTTCCTGGGAAAAAAAAAAAACAGGGAAAACAGGAATTAGACCAAGATTGGGAGCAACAGAGCCAGGAAATTCTTTGGGAAGAAGGAGGATGAGCATTCCGTAAGGATTTGGTATTCCTGGCCCTAAAGGGAGCAAGTTATGGAATTCTATCATGGATTGCATTGGAAGGGATCTTTGGTAACACCCAGATCCAAATTCCAAGGATTCTGCCAATTTTCCAAGGGTTCCTCTCCTTTTCCAAGGATTCTGCCCCCCTATCCAAGGATCCTCTCGCTTTTCCAAGGATTTTCCTCTTTTTCCAAGGATTCTGTCCCAGCAAAACATTTTGGGAATGGGATGGATTAAACCATGGAAAGCTCTCTTGGGAAATCCCAAATCAGGCTGGGGCTCCAAGGAGGAACAGCTTCATCCCAGGGCAGGGATGGATTCCACTTCTGGATTTGGGAATGGAGATCCAGGAGCATCCAGGGGTGGTGTCACCTCCCCCATGATGTCTCCTGTCCCCAAATCCCACAGATTCAGCCCTGGGGACCCAAACCCTGGAGTTCCAAGGAGGAACGGCTTCATCCCAGGACAGGGATGGATTCCACCCTCTGGATTTGGGAATGGGGAGATCCAGGAGCATCCAGTGGTGGTGCCACCTCCCTTGTGGTGTCCCCTGTCCCAAAATCCCACAGATTTCACCATGGGATGTTATCCTGTGGAACCCAAAACCAGGGGCTCCAAGAACATCCCAGGACAGGGATGGATTCCACCCTCTGGATTTGGGAATGGGGAGATCCAGGAGTGTCTGGGGCTGGTGCCACTTCCCCCCCAATGTCACTGTCCCCAAATCCCACAGATTCCACCACGGGATGTTATCCTGTGGAACCCAAAATCAGGGGCTCCAAGGAGGA